TTTTTCATAACAGAACAATTCCCTAAGTCATTTTAATTGATTTGTAGTAATGGCGAAGGTACTGCACCTTTTGAACAGAAAATAAAGCAAATGTGTAATAGCAAATATCACCTATTTTTTACAAAGAAAGGCCCGATATGCCATATTCACCCTTATTACAATTTAATAATTTAATTATCAAACTGTTTTGTTATGCAAAACAGTGAATAATGTATATTCGCCCTTAATTAACATTCTCGAAGATGACACTGTAATGCTTAACACTAGCGCGCTTTCTGCCTCACGCTGTGCAGGGGTTCCTCTAAACTCTCTAGACTTACCTGCTTTTCCTAAATGTGACAGGGAATAAATTTTTTCAGTAATTGAATCAGGTCAACTCTCTATTACGCATGATGAAAGTACAACTCTGTGTAACCTTGACCAACAAGGATTTTCTAAAGATATGGGAATAGCATATAATCCCAGCAATTATATCACCAGCTGTGACAAAAGTCCTACTATATTATTACGCAAACGTGTCTTTCCAGATGATGACATCAATGTTTGTGTCCAAAGCTTGCTTAGTACTCCATGTGCAGATGTTCCTACTTTATTATTAAATAATCTTAACACACATGACCTTTCTGAAGATATCGTAGCACCTAAACCTTGTTCGCTTACACACGTTGAAGTCCCAAACACTGGCTTACCTGTAATTCCAGACAATGACAACTCATCCCTAAGTTCCCATCTTACCCATCAACAAAATGAGAAATCTGCTCTGCTAACCATAAACTTGCCTCCTTCTCCTGAAAATGATGACTGCATACTTGATAAAAAATCTGGTGTATTATTTAAAGCATTTATGTGTGATAACTGTTCTAAAAAGTACCGGACAAAGAAAATTTAATAACCCATATTGAAAAAAAAAACATAAGAAAACGTCAATACAAATTGGTAAGAAAGAAATGAGAAAAATTAAGAAGAAATTTCGTGCAGCTGGAAAGAAGGAAAAGGAGTATACAAAACATTTTTTTGCAGGAAATGTACTTTTAAATGTACCGATACTATACCACAGGAAGAAATAGAAAAACTATTTAAAAGTTACTGGGAATTTGGCGAAAAAACTAGGAATCAAGACCAACAGTGGCAATATATTCTCAATCGCGTGGAAGTTGTTGAATCTATCCGACGTAGAATAAAAACTAACTCATGGAAACAAGCAAATCATTATGCTGATCCAGCGTATAGTGGTAAAGCAATCGTTGACAACAGATATTTATTCAAAACAGCCAATACACAACCATTGTCAACCGTTTGTTTATCCGACTACTGACGAAAAAGGATGGTTATGTTTTTATTGTGTGAAAAATTCTTTCAGCATTAGAATTTCAGCGTTACTTTGCGGAAATCCATTATAATAAAGATATTAATAGTTTTTTTGCAACCATTCGCTAAATTAAATTAAATGATGTGTCTTCGTTAGTTTGAAGAGCACCTCCCGCCTTCCCTCAATTGCGTGCACTAATCCCGTCACCACCAATCCCAGCACCACTACTCCCAACACCACTATTCTAGGAAAGACACACTATCACACGTGTTTCGCCTCTACACGAGGCATCTTCAGGTCTCTTAGCGGCAGCCGCCGTAGAGTCAACATTACCTTTCAACTTCAGGAGTTTATGTTATTGTTGCGCGCCATAATTAATGTCTGGTACTTGGCACTAGCGCCATCTAGTATCGAGTAGCAGAACTAATCCGTCTAGAGAATTCCATACTAGAACTTTCTACACCTAGTCAGTCGGGACTGGTATGTACTCGAAAATTCTAGATGTTACAGTAGGAGAGGGCCTATAAGACCGGTAAGGACCGCGACCAGTGAGTATTGAGTTGGCATTTCAAGCGAATACTTAGAAGCGATATAACTGCGAACTAAAGTGATCAGTGTGATTAATTATTAGTGTGCTTTAAGTTGTAATTGGTTTTTGGTAATTCAATCAGCAGTTTTTATCGTCAAGAACCGCAAGCTCGTAACATTATGTATTATTATGGTTGTAGCACGAATGCACAGCCTAAGAAGAACATACAGTCAGTCATCGCGTTTGATGTTGTCAAAAAGCCGACATAAACAATAAATTGCTGGGGTTGTCGAAAAAACTGATTTTATTTCACGTTTAAACAAATTCATATGTATGTGGAAACTAATGAGTAATGACACTTTAATTCCTTATCATTAAATGAGAACGACCCACGTACCGACCACGTACCCACGATCAACGTGCAATCAATGTTGAAAACCATTTTAATCTATTTGTGACAGGACAACCCAAGCGGACAGTTTCCGAGCGACTAACAACTTTTTTGTGCCAAAAAGATCTTTATTATCGGTGTATAGTACTGAATCGATATTTCACTTTAGAAAATCGAAATCTAATTTTTTTCTGTAAGAACTATTCAATTATTTACAATTAGTTGAATGTACCCAAAATCATGGGGGCATATTGCCAGTCTCCCGAACAAGCCGATTTCCGAAAAGGCTTCAGTACCATAGACCACATACATACCCTGCGGCAGATTGTACAGAAGACCGAAGAGTACAATCTGCCACTTTGCCTGGCGTATGTGGACTATGAGAAAGCATTTGATTCCGTCGAAATTTGGGCGGTGCTACAGTCCCTTCAGCGGCGCCAAGTTGACTGTCGGTATATCGAAGTGCTGAAGTGTTTGTACAGTAGGGCTACGATGGCTATCAGAGTACAGAACCAGAGTTCGAAACCTATCCAACTGCAGAGAGGTGTAAGACAGGGTGACGTTATATCCCCGAAACTCTTCACCGCTGCATTGGAAGACGTTTTCAAGCTACTGAGCTGGAAAGTGTACGGTATTAACATCAATGGCGAGTACATCACTCACCTTAGATTTGCCGACGATATAGTCCTTATGGCAGAATCGCTGGATGACCTAAGCACTATGCTCAATGACCTCGATAGTCCCTCCCAACGGATAGGTCTTAAGATGAACATGGACAAAACAAAGATCATGTTCAATGTCCATGTCACACCTATGCCGGTAGTTGTTGGGAGCACTATGCTCGAAGTTGTTGACGAATACGTTTACCTGGGACAAATAGTCACTAGGTAAGTCCAACTTCGACCGAGGGGTCAATCGACGGATTCAACTCGGCTGGGCAGCGTTCGGGAAATTACGACACATCTTCTCGTCAGGTATACCTCAATCTCTGAAAACTAGATTGTACAACCAGTGCGTATTGCCAGTGATGACTTACGGATCTGAGACGTGGTCCTTCACTGCTGGCCGTATGAGGACGCTCAAGGTCGCTCAGCGAGCTATGGAAAGGGCTATGCTCGGAGTTTCTCTGCGTGATAGACTCAGAAATGAGGATATCCGCAGTAAAACCAGAGTGACCGACATAGCCCAACGGATAAGTAAGCTGAAGTGGCAATGGGCCGGCCATATAGCTCGAAGAACCGATAACCGATGGGGAAGAAAGGTTCTCGAGTGGCAGCCTCGTACCGGTAGGCGTAGTGTAGGGCGACCCCCCACTAGATGGAGTGACGACCTGGTAAGACATGCAGGAAGTCGATGGATGCAGGTGGCTCAGGACCGTGCTTTGTGGCATACCTTGGGGGAACCCTATGTTCAGCAGTGGACTTGTGAAGAGCTGTAATGATGATCATGATCATTATGATAACCCAAAATCATAAAGAACGACAGTTTTTCTTTTCAAAAACTAGCAAAACTGCTGTGCTCAGTTTCTTCTTAATATATTAAGCTTAGCTCTTTCTTAATGTATTAAGGAAATATCAAAACAAAAAGCCCCCCCCCGAGCCCCGTCTAGACGCCTAAAATTACCGACTGTTAGTAGTAGTTGTGGCGAATGGGTTGGTTTGACTGGGAAGGACCACACACTCACAGGATACCAACGTAAAATAGCAGCTCAGTACTGCTATGTTTCATATGGTGAGTGTAGAGAACGGGAGACCCCTTTTTTTACTGGAAACGAGGCATTCCATCTTAGCCCTCAAGAGTGACAACACGTCTGTATTTTGATTCTTAATCGAGGATAGATGTAATGTCTAAGGGTCGTCACATCCACTTACCATCAGGACTGTGTGTTCGTTTGTCACCCTTATTGTATAAAAAAATTGTCAACAGGTACCACAAAAAGCAACTGTTTGGGACCTAAAGAAGGCAATTGCTAGACATTTTGAAATACATCAGAAAAGGACAGGGATTAAGGTTAAGATATCTTGGAAATATATTTGGAAAACGTATGACTTAAATTTTGATGGTATAATATTGGACAATAATAACAGTTTTATTGAAGATTATGGTGTGACAAACAAAGTTACATTATCTTTTAAGAAGCGGAGAAGGAAAAATAAATAAAACCACTATAATTACTTATTTAATTAAAGTTTATTTCTGCAATGGTTTTAATAAACATTTAGGTATTATTCTTACATTATTTCTATGAATTGATTACCTAACAACTGAATGTAGTTTAGAATTTTATGGGCAACTTTCTAATGTTTTTCAGTTTTGTTGTAACATGATTGGAGTTTGCCTAATACTAACTCTAAAGACAGTGTTTTAGGCTGTAAAATAGTTAACATAATTAAAAATAAAAGTTAAAGTTGGAACTTTGTAAAATTAATTCTGTGACTTTTAGATCTATATGGAAATAAATGTAAAAAATATATTCTATTTTTTGAATGCTAAGTAATGCGACTACTTCATACTTTCTTAGGGTCAAATACATATTAGCATAAGTTATTACAAGTTGCACTAATAATTACCTCCTACTTTACAAACACTAGGAAGGACATCAAGAACGACCGACAGTTGTTTACCTAATATGTGTTTAAAGTGCATAAGTTACGATGATTGTAGCTTATTGATAGCATTGTGCAAATATATGTATATGTAGTTTAATGAATTAACGAATATAATAAACCAACTCTATTTAAAATGATGTAATAGAAAATAAAGTTCAGCTCTTATAGCTGTTCAAAGTCGGGTTGTGGCGGAGGCTCTTGCGGCAGTGGCTCAAAGTCGCCGAGGCTATAATGTGGTTCTTCATGTCGAGGGGTCGCCAGCGGTCTATCATACGTATCCTTAAGTAACTCTTGATCATGCTGAAATTTTTTAAATTATACAACTTAAAAATACATTTATGAGGCTTATAATAAAGCATTCCGACGTATATTCCTTTTTATTAGTTAATAAAAAATAGCAGTTTAATATTTTGCAATTGGAAATCTTGAATGAAAATTGAAAAGCTGCAAAATACTGCTGTTATTCGTACGGTGATTGTAAATGACCTGTAACCCTTCTAAGTGGGTAAGAGGCATTCCATTTAGTTGTCAGAGGTTTTTTTATTGACTATAGGCGTAGATGTCTGGGGCTCAGAATCAATTTACCACCAGATCTTCAATATAATCGCTGAATGAGCTAAATTAAGAGTACTCTTCACAGTCGAGCACGTATGCGTTATATGGATGCGAAAGAACCTAAAGGTGTGCTAGGATCGTGCCGAATGGAAGCCTGTAATCGCTGTCTAACCCTCTGGGAGACAGGCGCGAAATTTTATAGATATTATGGAGGGTAGAGGTAAGGAGAACATCTCTGTCATGAAAAAGTGTCCGTCGAAATGCGGTTAATTAGGGTGGCACAATAGCGGCAGGGTAAATTTTAAAAACATTTTTAAAATTAAAAATTAATTTGAACTATTTTTAAGTGGCAATAACAGTTCACACTAAAAAAACTAAACGTATTTGAAGTCCACAAAAATTAAATCACTCCACGTTTTCTCACAGCAGTTATTTTAGGTTATATTAAAAAAATATCTGGAATTGGACTTCGTGAACAGTTGAAGTTTTGTATACTGTACTGTAACTTTAGTCATCAAAAATGCAGGTCGATTGGACGATGGGTGCAAATCTGTAAAAGAAAGGTAGTATAGACCATTTAGACCATATTTATGTTAGACGAAATCCGACTAACACAATATTTTACAGTTAATTGCTAATAATTGGCAGTTTCATTGATAAATGTTTTTTTTTATTTTCTTTAATTAAACTAACGTGTAAGCAATCTAACAAAACATGATCGAAGTGTCATCAGACATTTTTTGCACAGACACAAAGTTCACGAAAATTTTCAAAGATTTAAAGAAACAGCTTTTTGATGCTAAGTAAAAAAAACTATGATACTTTTTTGTGCAAATCTTTTTGAAAACCTGCTTGGTTATCGCTCTTTCATTTGAGTTATAATTTACGCGGATATGTTACAAATACCATATTAAAATTAGGACCTAAGAACCAGATTGAGGAAGAAAATTTAAATTTTTAGGCAGACTAATAAAACAACAAAACACATACTTTTTGTGTTCGAAATGATATCCGAGTAACTTTATTCTAACTAGTGCACGTGCTAGAACCAAATTGACAGTATTCTCCAATCAAAATTGCGTGGTGCGATGGCCGTAAAGAATCTTTCCATGAAGCATGCCTAATGAATAGAGAATAGGGATATATCGGTTTATTTATAGCAAAGTCAACTTAGTTACTAAAGCATCAATGTCGTGTTCAGGGTCTGTAATTATGAGGGGACTCGTCATTGTCACATCTCATTATGATTTATTCAAGTAACAAGTGCCTGTGACTTGACGTTGTATTCGTATTCGCGTTGATTCGCAATTATTAACCTGTTCAACCTCAACTGTTTTTTTTTATGTGTATTACCTCAACTTTTTCTCGGTGAACCGATTTCAATGATTTTTTTTAATTTGAAAACGGGTGCTTCTCATGTGGTTTTATACAAATTTGATCAAGGTCTGACCAGTAGTTTTTCAGTCATTCTTATTAAATTATATTGAAGTTGGTTGTACATAATTTTACCAATTGTTATGTGTTGGACAGTTTTGTTTCACCATGTTCAGTCGTAGGCATTGCCCTAGCTTTGCGCTCCTGCACGTGTTAATTCCGGACTATAGTGATTGGGTGCGTTTGGCAGAAAAAAGCGCTAGCAAGCGCTTGTAAGCAAAATGGCGATCGTAAGCGGTAAGTGCTGTCAAATCGTAAGTAGCTATTTTCCTCCAGGACATGATGTTAGTTTTAACCGGGGAACTTAACCTAATTTAAATATATGTTTGTAAAGTATTCATATTAAAAACTTACCAATCATGAATTTTTAATAACATGTATATGTCTATTCATGTCATTATATTACTTAAAACTAATATTGCACAAAACAACTTATAATTTCTACTTCAAAACAAACAAATTAAATAAGCAAAATGACGGATTGTGTCAGCGCTATTGAAGTAGCAATCGTGTCCTGGCCGAAAACTATTTTAGCGCTTATAAGCGCTTGCTAGCGCTTTTTTCTGCCAAACGCACCCATTGTCTTTTTGACATTTAGTGCGCTCCTCCTACGCCGTTATTGTATTGTGAAGTGACTATGACTACTTTTTCCAATGAGGAATATCATCTTTATGTATGGCAGAGAAGATTGCAATGGTTCTTTGGCGCGACGGATGTATCAAGAGCTATCCGAATCGCATGTGACGAAAACGAACGAATCGAACGCGAATGTCAGTCTTTTATAACTCATTTCGTCGGGTTACTTAAAGTTGGGCTACATACACCGCAAGCAACTTGGAGTCAACCCAGGTGGACACAACACTAGACGTCCAGGAAGACATTTTGGCAGCATTCAAAGCGGATCCACCAGCACCAGAGCAGTAGCTCGAAATCTTAACATTTCTCAATAGAAGGTGTGGAGTAAAATGCACCATAATGTTAAATATTCGTTTCATAGCACGTGTGAGAGAGATCTGGAAGAGCAAGTTCCCTACAGTAGAATTCAATTTTGCCGTTACCTTATCAACAAACATTGAAGGTGGATGGTTTTTGAAATCAATTTTGTGGACAGACGAAAGCGAAATTTCGAGAAATGGGATAACACGTGTTCACAGCCTCTACCAATGGGCCAAAAAAGGCAGCAATCCACACTGGAAGAAACAAGTGTCGGCGCAGAGGAAATTATCTGTCAATATGTGGGCTGGAAATTACTCCAGCCCTGAAGGCAGAATGTTGATTGGATCCTACTTCTTACCAGATATTTTAAAAGGGGAACAATTATTTGGAGTTTCTACAAAATGATCTTCCAGTACTTGTGGAGGAATCCGGTGCTCCGATTTTTAATATGGAACGAGAAGTGATCTTCCCCGCAAGACTGCTGTCCGCTTATTGGACATTAATTGTAAGCGAACACTTAAACAATAGAATTAATTCAGTGTTGAAACGATGAAGTTGGAGATGACGTTGAAAGTAACGTAAGTCCGTGCTTGTGTTAAAAATCGCGGCAATCATTTTGAGCAATAATTTGAATTAAAATATTGTTTTATTCAATTGCCTAAAAATTAAAATTTTATCCAACCTGGTTTTTAGGCCCTTATTTAGACCATGTTTTGTTATCAAACTTTACTTTAATAAAAAAATTAATAAAAGTGGCAATTATTAGCAATTAACTATAAAATTTTGGGTTTTATCATAAAAAAAATAATAGTAAAAAAAACTGTCGGACTTCATCTAACAAACCTTTTAAAGCTTTGCACCCATCTTCTAATCACCTTGTATAAAATTTATTAACTTGGTACATTTTAATCCATCTACATCTGCTACATTCATAGTATACCCTGTATCTGCACTAGCGCAATTCTGGAACGTTTTTGAACCGTTATTTACAGCTTACAGCTCGACACTTTTTCATGTTGTCCCCCATATGAGATGGTCCTCCTTACTTCTACCCTTCATAATACAGACAAATATAAACATATTATCCATGTGGTATAATACTGACCTGGTCGGGCTGCAGCACAGAAGGCGGCGCGAGATCGTCCAGAGACAGCTGCGTGTTGAGTACTGACGGCGGCGCGTAGTCCGACATGGCTGCCATGCTCTCCGCAGGCTTTACACAAACATTGATGATGATCATGACTTTCAGTACTTATCGCTTGATATGAAAGTGGACGGGTATAAGGGAGAAGTAGAGTAGAAGTAGAGGTAAAAGATATGATGACCATTTATCCTCACGCAAGAGGAGAGAATGGAAGAGGAAGTCATCCTATGCCGACTCCAAATAACTTGAAAAAAGACTAGTTGGTTGGTAGTTTGTTGACGTGTGTGGTCGGGTAAGAGAACACATTACTCCATTTAGCTCTGTAGGTGTCGTAACAGGTGACTATGGGATATGCCAGAAGTATCTCATGCGTGTCGATCATGTTGTAACTATGTCGTATATGGCAGATGTAAACACAAACTGAGCCAGCCACAGAAGCGGATCAAAGGCGCGAGACATCTGCTATTTTAATCGCTAATCCGCCTGATAAGCATGGCGATTACGGCAATCCCTCCAAACATTTGTGAAAGATGATTTTTTAAACTTAGACCTTAATAAAAAAGTACTTTTTGAAAGCCTATTGAGACCTAGTGAGACGAAACTCAAAAGTAGACTATTTTTATCCCAATACTTATGTACACAAACAGCGGACTGATAACGGATGAATAACGTACTGATAAAGAAGTAGACCCCTTCAGGAGGCAAATTAGGTTTTAAATTTGACATTTCTCAGTAAATTAAGCGCGTAAAGGATAATATACTACAAGTTCATCTCCACGCACTAGGATAATGCCTCATTAGAGTGTTTAGCAGAGTGAGTAGCGTGGCGTTAATTTGTGAAACGCTTCCGAAAACGAAGACAGACGGTAGACTAAGGATACATTTGATGACAGGACAAAAATAAAATCGATCCTGATGAAAAAAAATATTTTTACAACGTTTAATTAGCTTTATTCACGCTCTATCGTGTTAATAGAGCTAAATGAAACGTCAATTTCATAAATGAATCATGAAAATACCTGAACATAAAACCAGCAGTGAAACTTAAATACCTAAAATCTAGCCAACAAGGGTCGATACGCGCGACGTCGAATCCGCGCGGCCCGTAGCCATATGAGTGTATAAACGGAATTATCTATTCATGTACCACAGCCCGCAATCGTACCAATACCTAATAATTTACAACACTTGTCTAACTCTTAAAAGTCCGAGGTCTCCATTTGGATCCTTAAATGTCTCCTTGTAGACCGCGCCAAAGAGTATGCTAATATTTAGAGGGACGCCTTAGAACCAAAGAGTATATGATCACTAAGTTTACTCGAAACCATAGATAAGAATGCTCAGGACGATTCTTTTTTAAATGTTATTTATAAGAATATAATTCTTAAATTCTTAAAGAATTATATTCTTATAAATAACATTTAAAAATAATTATATTAAAAGAATTGTATTATTATATAGTTCACATATAAACTTAAAAACTTGGTAATATTAAGTTGCTGAAAGACACGCTATACTTAAAAAATTATATGCGTGTTATGATATGAATATCATAATAGAATCAGTGGCGAAAAGAAGCCCAAGATATAAATTGATAAAAATATAGATTGTTGTTTTTAGCAGTTTTATAAAAATACACCAATCTTGATATGTCACTACGCTTCAGTTTCATATTCAGTGCTGTCAAGGACGTGTTTAACAAAGCACACAGAAGGCATACTACTGCTAGATAGATTGTATTACATATCAGCAATTGCATAGCTTTGGTGGCTTTGAAGAAAGCCGTTACGGTTTGTTTAAGCGAAAGAAAAAAATATTTACATCCAATACAATACATGAACAAAAGTAAAACGTGAACAAACTATGTACAAAACTAAAAAAAAATTATTTACTTTCTAATGGATAAGAGATAAGATAAGTGGAATCGTCTCGCTTTCTTATGGAAAGATTTAATTACGTCCACGTAAAATGTTGGTGTACGTTTTAATTGTACCAATAACTATTTTTAATTGCGATAATTGATAAGTCTGAAATACACTCTTAACCTTGTGTATTATCTCAACAAAGTTTAAACATTTCCTCTCCGATTAGCACTTTAAAAAACTTTAAAAATCTTTAAAAAAGCATAAATTTTGAACTCGTAATATTAAATCGCTTAAGATAAGCACACAGAGTAAATAAACATTGAAACGTGAAATGAACTTGCAAACGTATTGCCCGCGCGCCTCCGCTTTTAACAAATTTATTCCCAAAAGCCTGTACTAATTGCTATATATACAATCGTGGTTATATTTCATTATAGAATATTTTGCCATAGGTTAGAAAGAGAGCGATCGTCTTCTCGAAAGCCCCGTAAAAAGCCCACGCGAGCAAGGGAGACAACTAATCGCTCTATTAAAACTCATTTTTTATGACGGCAGCAGTATCGCTAAGGCAATACGAGGTCATCGGTCGACACGTGTCGAACAGTGGAGTGCGCGGGAAATTTGAAATAGCTTGAAACATTTTACGAGTTATTTTATTAGTTGCTATTATTGATTGATTCAGTTTTAATAAGGCAAGCCCGGCTTTTCGGCTTTTATAGAAGCTGCGCCACTGATTCAGTGGAATCTCTATAACTCGAACCTCGTTAAGTCGAAATTCTCAGTAAGTCGAAAAAAAATGCCATTCCCTTCCGCTGAACCCCTAAAAACGCGGTATCTCGAATTATTAGACTTTGTAACTCGAACAAAATGTTATTTCCCTACGAAATATTGATAATATATATTTATACTATATAACCCGAATTTCAAAAAGGAGACTCCGTAAGTCGTAGTTAGTAAACAATAATGACGTCTTACTTGGAATTCCCCGAAATAATAGCAATAAAATCCGGGTTCTTAATCGTAAAGTAGCTGCCGCGTCACCTGCCGAGCGTAGGCCGAGCTCGGCAGGTGACGCGGCAGCTATGCGTATCTTGAAATTTTCAACTATAACGCCCGGCAGTCAAACATGAAACGTCCTATAACTCAAAAAGTATGGACAATATCAAACAAAAGTTTTGGAAAATAAACTGATCTTTCAAAATAAATTTATGCATTTTATTGATTAATCTAATATTTCAAGAGTTATTGGCCGCGATAGAAAAACCCTGTTCATTAAATGGGCCATAAATCGTAAACGGTAATTTTTACAAAAAAGTTTACTGGAAACAAAAGATGCGAAATTTTATTTTCTACAATAATGGTTTCTATAACGTTTGGCTTAAAGTGCATAGTTTCCGAGATATCGGCTGAAAACGTTTTTTCAAGATGGCGCTTGAAGCGCCACCTGGATCTGTCGGTATTTTGTGATTTTATGCTGAATAAGTGATCCTAAACCTCATAAAAAAATAAAATTGAATCGGAAATTACGTGCAATGTTAAATTCTATTTTTACTGTACTATTTTATTAAACATTTTATTTGTCAACAACGTCTTACAATCGTCATTTCTCTAGCGCTCACGTGACCTTCATACAAATAATTCGATATTTTAATTGTTAATAATTTTTATTTTTGGATAAGAACATGGTAATGACTCTAAGTAATGTTTACCTTCATTTAAAAAAATTGTCTTTGGCCAAACCTACTATACTCTTTGGCTTGACCATAGGTCCACAGACTGACGGATCACGAGTGGCTAAACACCTAATTTTGCCACTGTGCTAATCTCTACCTAGCCACTTTAATCCGAATTCACAGGTTAAATAAACCAAATAGTTGGTTCGATTCTCCGCTAATGACAAATTTTCTTAAATGATCTATCGTGTAGGTATGTTTATTATTCTGTTGTATTCAGATCAGTTGAGTACTTAGTTATTTAAAAAAAGATAGGTATGGAACAGCTTACCGATCTAAATCCTTAAATAAACCTGCCCATATGTTAACCGGCCATTGGGTTTGGTGCTCGGTTTGTCGAACAGCGTGCGGGTTAATCTTGGAATACACTTGGTGTATTTCTTCGGTTCTACAGGCCGTTTCTGGTAAATGTCGACTCGTCCGTCCAGATGACGTGCTCAATGAAACCAGGCACACGTTGTTGCTGGTCTAATAACCAATGGCAGAAAACTGGTTTGCCTTTGTATGGGCACATTCGGTTATGCTTTAACACCTTGTGAACTTGGTGAGGTAAACTTGTTCCATCCCGACGCCTTAACAATTTAGCGATACTTTATAAAATTGTAAATTCGTAATGCACACGAAGCCTTCCCGCGAGCTTTTCCAAGGCACATGTGCAGTATTCATGAGCACTATAAACGTACGCGTTATTAAAATAAAACGGAGGCATTATTAAAACAAAACAAGAAACACAAAACGTTAAACAATTTCAGAAACAAAACGATGGAACTGTTGCTCACGCGTATGTCAACACGGTCTCAAAAACTAAAATTAATAATAAATTCTGTCAAAACCCACCGCTTCTTTTGCGTGTCTTTGCAGTTAACACTTTGACCATACCACAGATTACCAAACCGTTACGAAATTCTCAACTTTAAGTTTATAAGTTTAGTTATACCTACGACTAGTCTTATATGGAATTTAGAACTTATAAATGTCATTTTTGAGAGACAATCAATTGTACCCTGACGGAACAAGCAGTTCGTTACTACAAAAATGATATTAAACCTATTGTACTCACACCATTATACCAAATTTCATCGCTATTTGATTTTGTACAAGAAAATAGAAATGAAATGGCACCGAATAATTTAATTGTTAAAATCAATTGCAAATATGATCGATAGTTAACTAATCTATCCCAATTGATCTAAAAAATAATTATTTTACTTTATTTTAATTGACTGTCCTTTTTTTAATCCTTCCAATACACTACACATAAACAGGGTTAGTCAAAACTATTAAAATTAATTCCAAGTTTTATTGTGATTGCGGCCTCTAATTCTTATTTCGCCTGCAAATTTTAGTAAGTAAACGGTTTGGCAACGCTGCAACATGTGTGCGAAAGGGAAGGGTAGAGTGTGCGTAAATACAGTAGTACCTAATGTATTGTTCCGTACCGAGATCGATGATAAAAGAATTCAGCGTCCGCGCCTTTTTTGACCCTTTATCAGCTGATTTTAGGTATTTAAGTTTCACAGTTTAGGTATTTTCATGATTTTTTTAATGAAATTATCATTTCATTTAGCTGTGTGATAGAGAGTGAATAAAGCTAATTAAACGTTGTAAAAAAAAAGATTTTTTTTTCATCGGGATCGTATTTTACTTTTGTACCATCACCAAAGGTATCTTTAGTACTATCGTCTGTCGTACATTCAATGGCTTACCAGTCCTGCGCTCACCAATTTGCATAGCTATAGTATAGAGTATAAGTATCATTTTTCAATAACGCATGACTGGTGGTGAATCCTTGAATCAAGGGCTATTTTCAGCAACGTGATAATGGAAAAAAAGATTACGATGATAATGAATAAAATAGGTACTTTAAAGATACTTCCACGCAAAGTGCATGCAGTATTTGGCTACATTAGATAGTTATTTTACTACTATTACCTATCAACGTAAAGTTGCAACGGTTCTAACCTCGTTTCAAAATATTTAGATAAAATAAATGTCCCAATTCTGAGTGAAGGCAATTAAACTATGAATGATTATAGTAGGAGACTGTAACAAATTAATAAAAATTACCCGTGTAGTGGAGGTGTTAGAATATCCACTACCCCCTATCATCCCGTGGGTGTTGTAAGAGGTGACAGAGGGAAACTGAACCAGGAGATGGCCAGCAGCATCTTCCCGTTAACAAGCTGATTAAAATAAAAAATAAACTGCGGTTACCAACCCGCTTGCCAAGCGTGGGAACTATGGCTAATATCTCCCTTATGAGGTTACTTATAGGGAGACCAATGTTCAGCAGTGAACTTTCATACACCGTGATGGTAGTGATGGTAATAAATAGTTGATAACACCTAATTTTTAATTTATGAGAACAAAAAATACAATAAATTAACAAGGTATTGCAGTTTTATTACCGTTTCAGCTGGTGTCCGCTCCGGTGCGGGCTTGCCAGTGTGATTCTCCTCCGGGTTGAGGGTGTTGGAACGTGCCTCCTCCTCAGAACTGTACGCAGTTTTACGCTCGCATACGAGCAGGTGAGACAGCATGTCCGTACCTAACAATAATAATAATGATAAATTTCTGGCTTTTTTCACCCATTTCAAATATTGTAAATCTCATCTAAATGTTAAAAACAAAAAGAAAAGATATAATTAAAAGAAAATCGTCCCCCCAAAAGCTACAAGTTTAGAAACATAAGACACTATGCTCCAAACAGGGTCAGCTTTGTCTTAGGACTGCAACGCGCAAACCGACGTGCGAGCATATTACTACAGCCAGAGCCCTCCGTTCACGTTCTATGTCGAGGTTATCGTGCAAATCCTTAGTCAGGATATGCCCCAGGTACCTGAATAGATCCACTCTTTCAGGTACACCGTCTAGAAATGCCAAGGACATACTGGGTAGCCAAAAAGTCGTGGGTCAAACGCAACTAGGTGTTAGATGGGGTCGTCAGCTGCAAAAAATTGTTCTACGGGAGGTCCTTAAGGTCAATCCCTGCAGAGTTATAATTTATTTTGCGTTTTTATGATAATATTGACTTTTTTACAATTATTATTAAAATTTTTATCTTTGTTAAAAAAGATACAGGTGTATGTAGTCTCTATAATTTTTTTCAATCTTCTATAATTTTTACTAGATTGGTACTGATGAGTCCTTGCGTTAAATATGCTATTTATGGTTGTTTATAACACACCCATGTTAAAGATAATATTAAGTTTTACGATTTTTTTTGTCTCAAATCATAACTTTATTCACTTCGGACCCCACTGTGAAAAAAATACTCTACCGAAAAGTGACCTTGTATTACAAGTTTTGGCGCATTTAATAGGGATTCTGAAAAGGCATGCATGACAAGACAGGTGGCCATGAGTGGCTCTAATATCTACCTAATATCAGAATCGCAGAGGCAGTGTTGGCGCGCGGTAGTGCAGTGAGCAGCACAGTGAGTACTGACCTAGGTTCGTGGTGTACCCGCAGAGGCAGTGCTGGCGTACGGCAGTGCAGTGAGCAGCACAGTGAGTACTGACCTAGGTGCGTGGTGTACCCGCAGAGGCAGTTCAGGCGCGCGGGGGCGGCGCGTGGCGCAGTCTCGAGTGCGTGCACGCCGGCGCAGTAGCCGCTGTGCCGCAGCATGGCCCGGTAGCACGACGTCGCGTACGGGCACTTACTGCACCGCGTCACACCCCTCACACACACAACACAACACTATTAATATTGTTTATTGCATACCCTATTATTACATTACAATACAAAGGGTAAACAATGTCATGAGGTATTCTCTATAAGGTTTACCCAAGGAGAACGGGTTCCTTCCTTTCCACCTTCCTACCTTCCTATTAGAGAATGGTGGAAAATTTGATGTACATAAAGAGTTAAAAAAAGGAAATTTGTTGTGTTCGACCGAAGATCGATCTCTGGCCGAAGCCGAAGGCTTAAAAACCCTAAGAAATTTAGTTCAAATTGGCTAAAATTGCTAATCATAAATGATTTTAAAACGTTTAAATTAAATATACAGGGTTATTTTAGAACTACCAGCCAAATTTACAGAGAAGGTTCAAAATAAGTAATATAGGCAAATGGTAGAGAAAACTTATTTATAAAAATCTCAAACTTTCTGACATTTTTATCTTTTAAATTCAAAATGCGTGATAATCCATTATTTTAACTGATTTTATCTCGCGCATACATATTCGTAAACCATAACACAGTAAAGTACCTTTTTGCTCGTCTTACCCGCGACCTTCTACCGTTATACTGTAAGTACCTGTTTACTCACCAGACCCCGACCGACAACCGAGTGTTGACCATGACCTCATTACGTACGATTTATTGCCAATGTCGTAACGTAAAATTGTCGAACCGCGGATACTATAAACTCTAAAATGGTGATAGGTATTACGTGTGAATATTAAATTTTAAGCAATAAAAGTTTACGTAATACATACAAAGATACTAAAGTGAGTTTTTACCGATGTGAGAAATTAGCGAATGTGTCGTAATTAACCAACCAATCGAATCAAACTATTCAAGTGCAGTGAGCCATAACTTAAATAGTGAATCTGCAAACTAGCCGGAACTTTCACCGTTAGTCTTTTATCTATCTATCTGCCAGTCTCAAGGGAGCCTTTCCATTGGCGGAGGACAGGATTATAGTGGCAAGGTGTACGCGCAAAGCACTGGTGCACTCTCTATCCCCTGATAAGTCCGCGTCCGTGTAAGCCGATAATTATTGGCTCATTTGCTAGGCTCTTCTTTCCCACACACACTGACATGGGTGAGAATAAGATAGAAATAATATCGTCACTTATTTTTGCTGTAGAACTAGAGATAAGGCGATCGTCCCGAATCGGGACTGCCACCAGATGCGCTCTTTTATGCCGCGGCCTGAATCGGGATGTGCACCAGCTGAGGGGATATTTAAACATAATTTACACTCTAGTCCAAATGCGTTAGTCTTGGTAAATCATTACGTGTTTATTAATAAAAAAAAGGTTAACTCGATTCAATCGATTAAATCTTACAGGAAGTGCTTGTCGCTTTCTAGTGGAGTGTCGCATTCCCTGCAGAGCATACCATCGGGCAGCACCAGCGTCAAATTCTCGTACGTGTCGCTGATGGCATGGCTGGTGGAGTCCTTCACTGGCGGACGAGCCTTGTTCTGAAACAATCATATTTAAATGTTAACTTTTAGTCCTCAGGGGTGACAATGCATCGACATTTTGATTCATAATCAAGGATAGATGTAGATGTATATCACAGTCTAAGAACATACAGTCAGTTATAGCGTTTGATTTTGTCAAGAAAGCCGATATAGTCTAGACTTTCGTCACTACGGGAAGTAATAAAAAGTTTCTTTTTATTCCGTGTTTAAACAAACTAAAAACTTAATCAGACACTACAGTAGAAGTTGCATGTTTTTTATTTTTTTTAGTTTACTACAAGTTATTAAGAAAAATGACAAAAAAATTTGACAATTGAATTGTCATGTAATTTTACAATTAAAAATGTTTTTTCTAAAATGTTAATTCAAATGCCATTGACGTCATTATATCGCTTTAGTAATGTCACGGCATGGTGAAATAATAAAACAGTCATGTTTTTGTTGTCAAAATAAAATAAAAATTGTCATTGCATAGTACAGGTTCGAAATTGATGTTTTTTTTTTAATTTATGGTGATCTGAATATAAAAATACAGAAGTACGATTGGGATTGGCTCACAGCCACAGAATAAATAATAGTACTTACTACTTACAGAAGTTGCAGTCTTTTGATGCTGACTGCTTGCCAACGTTTAATAGCCTACATAATTATTATTAATTAGATAGATCGCGCTCGCAAGCTAAAAAAACTTTATCGCTGCGCGAGTGTCCGTATTACTTTGCATCTTTTCCCCTTCTTTCCTTTCCGTTGTTACTAAGGGATGCCAATAATGAGTAACAAAATACATTGCGAAATATTAAGTTACTGGGTGAAATACCTATTCTGACTATGATCGACTGACCATATTTTCGCATCTATGTGCGTTCTGCGATGCCTAACGCATGCAACTTGCAAGGCCATTCGTCGGGAATCGCGATGCTTGGCTCGGAAGAAAAAGGTAAATAACGTAAATAACAAATAAACTTGAAATCCGATTCCTAACAGAAATGTAATCGTATTCTACTTAGTTAAAAATTTTGTTAGTAAACAAAGTTTTAATTTCCGTGTTTTGTGTTATTATAACTTAAAATATTTTAAATACAAAAGACAAGTGTAGGTATATGTAAGTAGATACTTGGATAGTGAAGTAAATTTCAACTAAATTTTGTAATAAAGTTAGTAGGTATTAGAAAGTTATTACTTAATTCTTTTTGCTATAAGTACCTATTTAACAATAAAATTAAATAAATTCACGTTTCATAACTTCCTACTAAAATACTTCGGTAACTTAAAGAATGATATATCTGAAATATTTTGTTGGTCATTTAGCGTCTATCCACGCAACAATAGGAACGACGTTTTGCCATTAAAATTTATCAAATAGATGGGTAAAATACATAATATATATAATTTTTAAATTACATTAAAACTTTTTAACTAATTTATTCTACAATTAAATATACCAAACACTAAACAAAAATTATTTCAACAAGTATCTACAAGAAATTATTTACGTAAACAGCGCTAAAAAACTTTAACATTCAATCGCCTACAACGCGCTAGCCCCGACTGCGTATTTCACCCTGGGTACCTCGGGATTGTAGGTAATTATTTCACGCAGGTAGTTAGAGTAACAGAGACAGGTAGAGAGTGACAGAGGCCTGTCACATCCTAAACGGATATAATGATGAAGTCCTTTTTTTTCATTCAAAAATTTAACTATTTTTTGATTTGTAATAACAAAAAATATTTGAAATATACTTTAAATTAATTCTTCTTTCATTTTTTATATAAATTTGTGGCAAAACAAATTATCCAACCTCTATTAGTGTTTAGAAATAATAAAAATAGGTTATAATAAGCAGTTACAAAAAAATTGTGAAAATTGTCAACTGTCCAATACAATATAAGCAGTTTATATCTTTGAATAACAACAACCTACTTAGCACTATATTTTTTTGTTTGAATACCTAAGGCCCAAAAACTCCGTCGTGTTGATTGGTGTCGTGAAATGGTTCAAAGATTTACCGGAGGTGACTCAAATGCTGTGTTAGACATACTTACGGATGACGAAAGCTGGATTTATGGTGTACCATCATATGGACAACAGCATCTTGCCATCAGGTGGACTGTGTGCACGCTTGTCAACATTTTTATTAAAAAAAAACTGGTAGTTTACTATTTGACAATCGAACAAGATGTGGTAGTTTGGCGGTTGACTCAGATTTCATAAAACGCAAGCACTCGGAGTTCGATCGCCGCTTGCACCATTCAAATCATTAAGCACAATGGATCGGGAACGAAAAAATTTAAGGGAAACAGCGGTTATTATGCAAATTTTGACATTGTGGAGTGTGTGTTTTAAGTTATTTTAAACTCACATTCACTCTAATCACTGTGCCTTTGAATGCCGGCTCAAGTTTAAGAAGTTAATTAAAGTTAACTCCATGTGACAATAAAAATCAACAATATTTCAACTGATTCTTTGAGACCACTCGAAAGTATGTTGGCTATACTCATGGTGAAATCAGCCGAATGTCACTTTGATCAGCAGTAGTACGTATGTAAGCTGTTATTTTTACTTTACTTGATCAAAATGTGGATAAATCATGAAACTTTTTGAATGTGATAATGAAAACTATTAAATATAAATTTTCCTCACCTTGGGCTTATTAATCAAATGCTCTTCAGTACACAACGGAATTGCATTTTCTATCGTGATGTGGTCTCTTACTTGATGCTCCTTTAGTTGGCCTACGGAATGTAAATCATAAAATTAAAATATCACATTATTTATTGAAGTAAATAAAATATACAAATTACAACAAAAATATAATAAAACCAAACTGACCAAGATGTACGAATTTGAGCACACATCTGCTGCAGCCCACCTCCAGTTCTTTATCCTGATGCTGCTTTAGATGGTCGATGTACAGCAGCACATTAGCAGTCAGCTCGTAACCATCCGCGTACACAGTGATAACCTGTTTTAACGAAATATGTTTCTTATTGTTTCATATTGTAGTCAGTACACTGTATTAAAAAAAATGCATTACACCAGGAAAAGGTTTTTATGTCAACATTATAGGATTCAATTTATCAGTAAAGTAACTACAGAAATTACGTATATGTGATCAATTTTAATCTGGGGGCACGGCAGTGCCTCCGCCAAGTCGAGCAAAAAAGCGGCACGGCCGTACCATACTTTTCTCGAAGCAGTTCAGGCCAATTTCGACTCCCCTATATTTTTGTGGATAAAACTAGTAGCCTGAATTTTCAGTAACCTAGCAGGCATTGTAAAACAGTATATATTGCAAATTTTATTCAAATTGAACCAGTAGTTTAAGAATCATAACTATAGTAAAATTATTTTGTTTGTGCAGTTGGGGTCATAAATCATAGCTCGGCTTCAGCCCGGCTTGTGCGATGAGCAGGTTGCGCATGCGCAACTTAAAACAGAAGTACCCTTAAGTAGAGGCCGAATAAATTAACCGACTGGTATATTACATGGATCCCACAACTTTTTACGGTAGAACTGAGTTGCGAGACTTGGTTTTTTTTAAAGTTATGTTTTTGATAGCATATATAATACGTCGTAGTTCAACGATGTGATATAGCTAGTTATTTGGATTAAGTGCCTAGCTTTTTAGTTCAATAGTTGTAAACATTGACATTAACTTTGATGTGAATGATTTTTTTTAGGTGACAAAAAGCCAGCTCCGTCACCCAATATGACTAAAACAATGACGTTTAGAATTTAGTTAGTTTTTATGAGTATGACGCTAAAAGTTATAAGACAAAAAAATTAATGAATGTGTGTGAACGGACAGACCTTGAGGCAGTGTGGACACAGCAGCTGCGCGGCGCCGGCGTGTTGCGCGGCGAAGTGGTCTACGGCGGCGCGGTGCGCGGAGGCGCGGTAGTCGCAGGCGGCGCACGCGTACGCCAGCTCGCGCGGCGCGTGCGCCTTCTGCATGTGCGTCGCCAGCGTCAACACCGCCGCGAATCGCACCTGCGCAAGCAAAATCGAAAAGAATTATATTATATATTTAAATCCTGTGATAAAAGTGTGGTGTGCAAGATGATGTTATGTCCACAATTAAGACAGGAATGCTTCGATGGTTTGGTTATGTAAAAAGAATGAACGAACGAAGTGTGACAGATCAAATTTATGTTGTAGAAGTAAACGGCAGAGTCGAGATGGGACGCTCTAGACAAAATTTTATCGACCAAATTGACAATATATTGAAGATGGACCAAACTAAGAGAGCCCCTTAACTGACGAGCATGTATAAGTATATGCGGGTATATGGATGTAAAGGAGTTTGAGAAAGGTGTGTCAGGATCGTGCTAAATGGAAGTCCGTAGTCTGCCTACACCTCTAGATGACAGGCGTATTTATGTATGTATTATATATTATCAGGCAGGCAGTTGAGGCAACTAATAACGCCTGTATATTGTTTGTGACCGCTAGTTACTCATTTTGCAGTTTAGAAAACAGCTATCTAATCCATTTTTGAATTAGTTTACATATTGAACTGAGACTACATTTTCTGGCAGCTTATTCCACTCTATGTCTACATGGTTATAAATGAAGCGCTTGTGAGTGTTGTTGTTTGAAAAACTTTCTTGAAAGTTTTTATTACCAATAAACAATTTGTCAAACTCCTCAATGTCGGTTATGTCCGCTTAAGATCTTAAAAATTGTTGTTTTTAAGCTATTGCATAGCTTCTATCGCGGGCCTTGAGCGCGGGGACCGAATCCAGAAATTCCGTAACGAAAAAAAACCTCACGCTCCCCACTCCGACGGGCACGGAGGTGTGGCGTTGAAAGCCGTGCATCGTCTAACGTCGTTTCAGTTGTCGGCAGACTTCGGCACGGTGTTTATATGCGTGCGACTAGACGTATGCGTGTACACTAGCTGCTAACTCAATGATAAAAATTCCTGAATAACCTACATGTATTATAAGATATTAAAAATATTTTAAACAATATTAACTTCTCATTTATTCAATAAGAGAAAATTGTTTTCTTATCGGTCACCACGCTCAAAAAGTGTAACTTGATTTAATATCAAAGACTTAACTGCTAAAAATAAATAAATAATAATTGCATAAGTTGATAAAAAATGCTACGCAATAGCTTTACCGCGGCAGTCACCGAGTGCCACACGTATCTTTTTTTAATTTCAATGTGATAAGACTTCGTTTCACCATTTCTTATTTGTAGGGTTCCCCCACGCAAAAGACTTGATCCAAGCCAGTAGTTTTCCAAATATTCCTACGTATTCCAGTATCTGGAGAAGTTCTCTCGTAAGGACTCTATCGCAGGCCTTTTCGTAGTCGAGACAAATTATGTCCATAGGCTCTCTCTCGTTGAAGTGTTTGGTCCATGACGATAGGCATAATAATAAAATGAAAATAATGGAGCGATGTGGACAAAACCATGTTGCTGTTTAGGGACAGCTTTGTAACTAATATGTTTAGCTATTTTTTTTCCATTACCTTGCAGACCACACAAGTCAAGCCGATACGTCAACACTCCAATATTATCCTCCATTTTCACTAAAAATCTTTGAAAAAACATAAATTTTCACAGACACAACAAAAACAAACCTAAACATTGAAATAAGAAGTCAACTTGCAAACGTATCGCCCGCACGCCCGCGCACTCCTAAACAACTCGAGAGCAAAGCCCAGCTTTTGATTCTGTAGTAATTGCTATATAAACATTTCGTACTTATATTTCATTATAGAACGTTTTGCCACAGGTTAGAATGGGAACGATCGTCTTCTGGAAAGCCAACGCGTGCGAGAGAGACGACTTAATTTTGACAGTTCATTGCGTGTTCGCTTTGAGACGGAGAGAACACGAATCAGTGTATTTCGAATTGAAAGCAAACTGCCAAGTGTTGATGTTACATATATGCTACGAGGTCATGACATGTGTAGAACAGAGGAGCGCGCAGGAAATTTGAAATAGTTTGAAACAGTTTACGAGTTATTTTATTAGTTGATATTATTGATTGAACAGATTGAAAAGGCAAGCCTGGCTTTTCGGCTTCTATGGAGGCTTCGCCACTGGTTGTGATGCATTCCATATTAGTCCTCAGAGATGACAACACATCTATAGCCATCTTTGTTTGAAGTTAGCTGCCCATGTACAAGGGCTGAAGAGCTGAAGTAACCACTTACCATCAAGTGGACAGTCCACTTTGTTTCAACCTGAATTTTATAAAAAAGGTAGTGGTATTGATAAAATATTACAAAATAAAACCAATAATATGCATATGATAGACTACAGTATTTTTTCAGCACTAACCTCGCAAATGAGACAAGCATAAGTAAAGAGCTCCGGTGATTTAGTGTCGATGGGATGATTGTGCTTGAGGTGCACTTGCAGCTCGACGTCGTCTGGGAAGCGTGCGAGGCAGTAGTTGCACAGAACGCCCGCACCGTTCTCTGGTGGCGCTATGTGCGCAAAAATGTGCGTCATTAGAGACAACGCGTCGTTGAACTCCATATGGCATTCCGGACACTACAAAACATTGAAATTTTATGAGTTATAAATAAAAAATGCTTATAAGATATTATAATATAAAATATAAATATAAATTTTAATTTTAAATAATTACAAACACATCAAATATAGCCCACTATAATTCACATATTTCACTTAACTTTGCTTAGTTTGTAGTACCATAGCTGATTAGAGTTCTTAAAACCATTAAGATGTTAAGGAGAAGAACAAAAGGTTTACATTTTCTTCACTAGATTTTAAGGTCTTAATTAAGATGGGCCAACCGGTAATCATCTATCGTATAACCTCAAAGGGAAAAGCAGCTAAAACTACATTGTTACTAATAGAATGTGCTCAAAGAGCTGTTTTGTAAGTCACCACAATCTGCTCTACTCCCCACCCCTCTTTTATGTAAATGTCATATCTTTTCAGTGCGCAAATTATTAGTCATGAGTATGTTACTAAAACAGCACTCAAAATTGACTTACAGAAGAGAGATCACAGACATAGAGTCGTCAAAATGAAATATGTGAAACTAACATTATAATAAAGCATAATTTCATGCATACATTTTTTACATTCTTCGGCCTTTTTCTTTATTACCGATTCTATGCAATTTTGTGTGTTTTATGTATTCATTAAAAGTGAATGTGGCACTTGCAAAAATGCTAATTACAAAATATTTATTCGAACATGGTTACAAAATTTGTTCTGATACAGCAAGTTACTGATTGTTTTAATTAATTAATGCTTATTAATTAGTTGCTAAGTTCTTAATTTCATATTAGACACAGAAAATATTTGATACTGTATCTATGGTTACATGCACTAACAACCTAAAAAGATCTCTAAAAAAGTAACTGAAAGTCTGATATCAGTGGTAGCTCAGAGCACTCGCAGTAAATTTCATAGTACACGAACAACCTGTGTTAGATTCCTGTCGGCACCAATGAAATTGTTAATTGCAATTTTAGGTGCTAATTTACTATGTGCTCGGTGGTGTATAAAAATATCTCTATCTCTATCTAAAAATATCAAGAAAGAGAGACGCGTGTCTAAGAAATAAAATTTTTAGTAGATGAGAAGTTCTCTAACACGTATGGGAGCAAGGTGGGGGGCTAAATACTCCATCAGCCTCTCAGAAATAAGACCAGGTCTATGATCCGCATTAGGACGTACAAAGAAAATGGAATGCTGTAACTTTACTCAATGTCCGATCAAGCGAATAAGACATACCTCAACTGCTATAGCGATTCGCTCTGGCGTCTCTTTGCCTCCAATTTGTCCAAAGTAGTAACGTTCAAGAGACACGGTCTCCTCTTGTTTGATCTCTTTCTTGATGTTTTTCAGTGGAATATCGTCCAAGTCATCGTCGACATACGAACGCGCAACTTTGCGCCGCGCTCTGGGAGGAGGTTCCACTACAGGCTCCTTTTCCTTCTCTTTATTCTTCTCTTGTTTGATCTTTGTGCGTCGCTGAGCTAGCGGCACCTGATAACAGCAGCATGGATCAGATCAGCGTTTATTTATTCATAAGAATTACACAGTTACTGATCTGCTCCTATTGATTAGGGGCATAGACGACACCACATTGAGCATGTAATAAACATCTTGCATAGTCAATAATTATTTTATATTGTTAAAAAATTTTTGGTTGCAGCCGAATGGGTCGGTTCGACCAGGTAAGGACCACATTCTCACAGATTACCAGAATTAAATAGCAATTTGATGCTGCTGTGTTCCTTACAGTGAGTGTAGAGAACTAGATACCATTTTACTGGTAATGTGCATCTACATTTTGATTCTTAATCGAGGATAGATGAAGATATCTACAGGCCACAGTATCCACTTGCCATCAGGTGGACTGATTGCTCATTTGTACCATTATTCTATGCACATTAATATATTATTTCACGCGCAGTCACTTTCTATTCCCTCACTCTCTTAGTCCGATGTGATGGTAAACCGACACGACAGGAGAGAGATCAGGCGCAAGAGCTACGGCTTTACGTGCTTTCCGAGGCGCGATGGTCGGACAACGCGAACTTTCTGACTCCGGGCAGCTACTGCGATTTTATTGATGGAAATGCTCAATAAATGATTTTATTTTGACCCGACCCGGGATTGGAACCCGGAACCTCATCAGTTGCACTATTACAACCATTAGACCAACGAGGCCGTTATGGGTGACAATATGATGAAAATATACCCTATCTAATCTGAAAAGGACACATAGATACGTAAACCAATTAATGGATATAAAAATGTTATTATTTTCTACTTTAAATTTGAAAAGATTCATATCACGATACTATAAAGCACTCTCACAGGTCAGACAGGGTTTCTTTTACATAACATTGTTTATAAAAAAGAAGGATTGGATTTTCCCAAGTAGCAACAATTATAATTTTTTAATTCTCATATTCTGTAATTCTGTTATAAAAATTTACCTCTTCATCATCGTCATCTTCGACATACGTAGTCTTCTCCTTCTTCTTTTTCTTTGACGGCGGCGGAGGTGGCGGTGGGGGTGTTGGCTCCTTCTTCTTTCTTCCGCGCCTACCACGACCCATATCCGGTTCCGGTTCCGGTTCAGGTTCCGTTTTATCTTTTTTCTAATACACAAGAGCATACAGTTCAAGTTACGATAGTTATTAACAATTAAAAGTAAAATTTTACCATACAGCAACCCCAAATTTTGCTTTTGACGGAACTTTTGGGAGCTGTGTCAATGCTATGAGATGTGTGAGTATAGGATCGCCATTTCGCTTGTACCAAGCGCGGCAATTAAGGCAAATTCACCCTACAATAAGAGAGGCCCATTTCAACCAGTGGACTTTTAGGAGCCGGTGGTAGAGCCATGTTGCAGTTATATTAGTAGTATAGTTGTAGCACAAATGGGTCGGCTTGACCTGGGAAGGACCACGCTCTCACAGAACACTAGCAAATAGAAGCTTAATGTTGCTGTGTTTCGTATGGTGAGTGTAGAGAACCGGAGACCCCTTTTACTGAAAACGTGGCATTCCATCTTAGTCCTCCCGGGTGACAACGCATCTGCATTTTAATTCGTAATCGAGGATAGATGTACGCGTCTATGGATGTGGATTTAGATGTCTATTGGCCACAGCAACCACTTACCATCAGGAGGACTGTGTGCTGTGAAAAAAGAAAACTTAGTAATTTTTTCTTACAAATTCTTACTTTTAGTGCCTTCTGTTATGTGTGAAAATTTGCCCAGTACTGATATACGATAAAGAGGAAAAGGTATAGAATAAGATATTTTTAATTCAATAATAACCTAATTATTACAAAGTACATTTTGAAAACCAATTTTTTAATTTATCACTGGTTCAAAACTGTTCAGAAAATAATACACACTATATTCTGTACAACATAGCTTGATTTGAGATTTGCGATCGACATAACTTTGCAATGACGAACATTATTTTCTTATTTTAATCGTAACATTTTCTGAAAATCTTAGTGGTTTTTATAGCTTCAAAGCAAGATTTAAACAATAGACGCTCGTGCAATGTTACATCGATCGGTCGGATGGGACACAAATAACTGTTACAAATGTCGGTTACAAAGAAGCCTTAATTTAAATCATTTTTATCGATTTAGCAACACTGGCAGCACTGGCGCCGTCCGCCCGCCTGGCCTGTTAGTACGAGTGCGTGTTCCGAGTGTCTTGAATCATAACACCAAGCTACTTTATTGTTCTTTTGTTTTGTTGCGTTATTATTAATTCTTGTTAAGTTTTTATTGTTGAATTTTAGTTTTCATTGTTAACTTTTGTTAATCATGCCCAGAAGGGTAAAAAAAACCTGTACATAACAGTGAAACGCGTGGGTTTGTATTTCGCTTACGCGATTATTTTGAGCGTGAGTGTCAAAATGGCAGATCATTATTGCCATTGTCTCAAGTGCGGCAACGTGTAGCTGACGCTTTGGGAATTGGACATCTCCCTCCCTTCACCACAAACAAAATGCTCCGTTTGTTGGAAGAAGCTTGTGGTCAGGTGACCGCTGAAAACTGGCCGAATGTTGTTCGACACACGAAAGAAGAAATTTTGCACATATGCACGGTGTGCACGTCGACAATTTCGTTCAAAACGAATTAATAATTGAAGTTGGAGATGATGACACAAGTTCCGATGACGACTCCGACGATGAAAACCTTGGTTGTGCTTCTCTTCCTGATTAAAAACTATGTTTTAAAGAGAAAATTTTATTTTATTTTTCAACCTTGATTTTAACTCAATATTATATGTCGATCAACTAAATATAAGAAATCATTATTCAATATTATATGAATAAGATAACCCATCGTCGCTTACCTACCCAACGTTTTTATATGTATAGTGCAAACAAGTTATTTGATTGATTAATTATTTTGAAAAGCCTAAAAAAATACAAACAGTCCACACCATCTCATCACAGTTACAAGTACTTATATAAAAACGTTATTTTTTGCACTACTAGATATTTTCTGTTTCCCATCACTAGACCCATCTGTCGAAAAGATCAAGCTATGTTGTACAGAGTATAGGACTTATATTTGGTACAAAAGTTCACAATAATATTACACAATTATTAGAAAAAATGTTATAAAAACACATCGGTAGAGATCACTTCATTCCCTGGTTATTACCTTAATATTGCGTTGTAGGGCGGCGAAAGAATACACTATCCCATGTTGTACCTAAGATTTGTAAGAAGTGACTGAAGAAAATTGAACAGGAAGTAGGTAGACCACCATGCCCCATAATATTGTAATGACAATATTTAATTTTATAATAAATTTCTTGAGTTGATTTTATAATATTGTTTGTATTTTATTTATTACACCTCATATATTTCATGAATTCCTCTTCATACCTTTTATCAAAAAAACTTTTATTTATATTATAGAGTAACAGTGACCATATTTGGTGGCACGAAAGTGTACATGCGCAATCTTTCCCCCATTACGCCAAAACCTTGCCAAGTTAGTTAACGTATGCTGTACTGTTTCAATGATGTATTAGAAAGAGTAGTCCTACATCCCTGTTTTAAATTTCTTTACCTTGCTTGGATATTTCCAGTGTTTGAAGGGATTGGAGGCGATCTTATTAAGACGCACTGTTATGGGATCCTTCGCCTCTAACTTTGTCTGTTCTGATATGTGCAGTACTATGTTATCAAATGCCAATCCAGGAGAAACGCCAAATCTGTAAAAACATGAAGTTGTAAAATGAGCACATGTTGCTAAAACTTTTATTCAAAATGGGAGATTACCTTTCTCTCCACACAAGCTCATCCAAAAACTGCTGTATAATCTGCCTAGATAACAATGACAGCGTATTCTGGAACATTCTCGGTACAATGCGCCGCAAGTACTCCATTATATTTGCATTGCTGTTCCTGCCTGACTGGTCAGAATGCGAAGAAGACTGTACCACATGTTTAAAGCCCATGGAGACCAGGGTGCCTTTGTCCACTGTCAAATCTGTTAGAATGATTGATGATGGGTGAACCCATGCGCTAAGTGGTTCAAGAATTTTCTGGAAACGTTTCTTATAGTTCTTCTCGTATTCTGCTAATGGTTCGACGGCGCGCAGACGTATCTGTAAACCAAGGAATTATGACTTATGTTGATATTTTTATGTATTGAAAATTATTCAACATTAACAATAGTGATAATGTCTAATCTAATTCTAAATATGTATATCCCAATCGACAAATTCAACTTACCAATTTCTCCACAGGATCCAATACACCCAACACTTCAACCTTCACTTGCCTTTGAGTACCATCATGACTTGTTGTCCCAAGAGATATAACACCAACTTCTACTTTCTTACCCGATCCCCCTAATAATCCCATATGTTGATGAATAGCAGATGTGCAAATGGCCCGCAACCATGTAAATAGTCCCTTTACATACAAATTGTCCACCTTAACCCATTGAACAACATTTTGTACGTTAGTTTGACAGGCCCAGTGATATATGAGCTTCAGTATCACACTGGGCGGGAAAGTCGCACCCTCAAAAATAGAGCTAGAGAATACGGAGACAAATCTAGTCGGGCAGCATTCGGATATCCATACATAGCCACCAGAATATGGGAATTTTGAGACGTCCGAGTACATTCCTGGAAACAAAAAAAAGAGTTAAATGATTAAGCTATTTAATATCTCATTTATCAATAAGCAATAAGCCACGAATTCACTTAAGGTGAAACCTACGGACTGTTCCCAGCCATTCTCCCGCAAGATGGCGCTGAAGTCAACATTTTTAGTTTATTTGGATTTTTGTGTAATTGGAAAATTATTAAGTCGTAGGAGTAGACTTAGCGGTTATCGGATATTACATTTTATTGGAATGGGTCATATCATTGCCTCAAAATCCACCCAATTCGACATTAATTTTGATTATAATATCTGTCATTGAATATAGTGTCGTTTACACACACAGACGTATTCCTACGTTTACGAAGCTAGAACACTAGATGGCGTGTATGAAAAAAAACAAGTTTTTAATTTTTGTGTATGTGCAGATTGGGTAGGCAGAACTACAAAACGATTGTTATAAAAATAAAATTTATATTTGTTGGCGTAAACTATTTAATTGATTTTTGTATAACTTTGGGAAATAAATTATGTCTAACGGATTAGAATCTTACGCAGTTTTGGATTTTATTACATTAACTATTGAATGGGCATTTTTCATCAAAATCAAGTACCAATTCGACATTAATATATATATATATATATATATATATATATATATATATATATATATATATATATATATAGCAATGAAAAACTGCTACAATATAAGAAGGTAAATTTTAACACTATAATAATGATCGTAATAGTTCCCTGGTTCGCGTCTTGTCTTAGGATTGACTTTTTCCCCTTTTTTTTTCAAGTTCCCTTCTTTTGTGAGAAAATCTATTATTTCTAGCCCTTTTTGTAGTATTTTTTAAAAATACGAATATTTTATTGCATTCATGATTTTTCTTTTAATAACCAGTTCAGTTTTTTTCTATTATGTCGGTAAGTCAAAAAATATTCTTCATATTTTATCAGTATGTATTTTTCATCTAAATATAACTTCCAAAACACACGATTTCCAAAAAAAAAAAAATACCGAGAAATGCTCGGTCATCCAGGTACAAATCTTCCTTCAATTCTATATGAATAGGGTTGCGTTCGGAACACAAGATCTAGAACACTAAAATGTAGAAAAATTTACTTATCTTTTTATTTCAATGTTATCTTTATACGCTGTCCCAAAAAAAAAAAAAATTCCTGGTAGAATTGGCCGACGAATAAGAAAAATATAACTCAGATTAGAATAAGCTATTTATTTATAAACAATAAAGCACGGAACAGAAAAAAGGATTTTATGTAACTGAATTATATTTGTTTCTGAACGCAACATAAGGTATGACGTAGTGACGAGTGAACTTGAGCTCTACAAAATATAACAAACTAATAATGTGTGTCTGTCTGAAACTGTTTGCAAAATGCGTAAAGGGTGTTTAATGTAACCCGGCAAAACCATATTTAGCAAATTTTTGCAAGTTTAATTTTGTGACTACTTTGGTAGTTTACCGATTTATAATAATTGTATTTATTGTTGACCAAAAACATATTCAAACACATTCATATATGAAACACTGACACGTATGACGTAGGTAATCAGTATTGTGACGATATTTCAGAAAAATCACGGGCCAGCCTGCTGTTAATAATACTACCGAAAACATAATTGCGTTTTTAGAATAATTAATTACTATACCTACGATAAATTACAATATAGTCTCAAATATATACTAGAGAAATATTGCAATTCGAATCAATGAAAACATACATACAATATATGTATAACACACGAGAAATTCCGCGAGCAAATCATAGCGCGTGACAAACGAAATCAGAATATTATATTTCAAACAAGTGAACGTACGTAAGTTTGGCAACGCTTTTGTTTCAATTCAAGGTCAGGAATACGTTAGTACCGTAGACTTCTCTGTCTGCGGTGAGTACTCTTATCAGTTTGTTGTCAGGAAGGACGGCAAGAGTGGATATTTTTTTATTCCAATGTAGCCTACATACGAATAAAAAAATATTTTTCTTCATTCTCAAAATAAAAAAAAACTTTTACGCTTACATTTCTTATTACTTCTGATGAATAATACAACCCTAAAGTCAATATGTGTTTAAATTAAAGCATATTCTTAAAATGTTACTTATAAAAATTGGACGATTTTTTAAGACTGACTACTCTTGCTTTTGCTTTGTAATAGCGCCGTCTACTTTATAAGTAATGTCCCTTTATCGAATTGATTAACTCTCATGATGGTACGTAGAAAAGACGCTAGATGGCTTTATCCGGACGTCTGGCAACGCTTGCCACGTTCATCGAGGCACACTACGATAATATCGAAACGAGACGGAGCGCGCGAAATAAATTGAGACAGGTTCGACCTCGAGAGCCGCTGGCGCGGTAGTGAAATTAGATGGCTGATAGAGTGAAATATATGGTACTTTTATTTAATTAATTAAAAAATAATAGTAGCGATTTAAAAAGTAAAAAACATAGTATAGTTTAAGCAAATGTTGATTATTATTTTGGTACAAATTTTACGTTAAAATGATGTAGAACTTCGGAGATATTGGTGCTTGTATCGAAGCTTTTTTCGGTAGATAATTGAATTATATCCTATACTTTAATAATGATAAAATATAACGAAAATGTATTTTATCATTATTAAAGTATAGGATATTTGTGATAAGCATCGGTCATTGGCGGTTTTTTATTTAATGTAATTTAACTGTTAATCATTAATGGTCAACAGGTTTAAAAAGCTGTTAATTAAATAACAGATTTTGAAACTTCAATTGTTAGCGTTAATCGTCAATATAATATTTAAACGTTTTCGATCAATAACAGTTTTGTTGTAGATTAAGTTAAAGATTATTGATTTGATAAGAATAAATTCGTATCTAAAGGTTACTTTTATATTTATTGAACTGCAATGACCATTCTTCGTACTTTTTCCAGGCTTAGAACTGGCTGGGTATATACATTATCCATCATTTTTTGTTTTTTTTTTTCCTTTGTTTTATTTACAACAACATATCAAAGCTCATAACTTGCAAAACGGCCTCCATCTAAGTTAACATTTCAAAATGGCTCTATTTTGCTGGTAGTTCTTGTTCTTCTTTGATTTACAATTAGCCCCGATTTGGAGAACGTTCTTTCGCATTGCAGTGATGTTGCTAGTCGTAGTACATTTTTCAATGTAAATTTTGGCTAAGTTTGGATAAAAAATTGTGACTTCTCCATCATTCCAAAGAATTCTTCTAGTCACCAGTATTAGCACTTGGTAATACGTCGTCGGCCAAATAGATGTCCACTTCTTCTATGGCTTTTGATAACGGAGTGCCTGTGGTGGGAGGTGTCCATATTATTTGATCAAAAATATACCGTGGACTGAATTCATTCTAGTTCTTGTCAATTCATTTTTTGAAGTTAGAATTGAATTGAAGTTTGGGCCAGTGTTGCAGCATCAATTTTGGATATTTCGGTGGCGACGAGCATTCGTACTCTATCTTTTGTTTTGACAATTTCAGCGTGGCCTGCAAATCCCTGCATCTTAAATCAAGGGTCCAAGAAAGTACACAAACTAAATGTGCCACTTTGCTCTATCCCTTTGAATCTGTCTGATAAACCTGATTTCAAAAATGAAACTATATCGTGGATATTTGATGTTCGATTTCCTTTCTCTCATATTTCATTATAAGATTCTATCAGGCAACGTATCGTTATTATAAGATAACACGCCGTCAAATATTTATGACCAATCTTCGAATGGTTCCAACACCTGACATAACTGTTGGTAGGTGGTCCAATCTTCCGAAGTGATCGTCAACAAATCTTTGTCCGCTAGCGTTTTAGTCTTTCTCTGCGAGCTTTTTTATGTGAGTCACAATGCGTTTTATATTGTTTATTTGTCTTTGGCAGAGTAAACTTTTGTTTCTACGTGCCACTGACATAATGTCCAAACTTTGTCACAAAACATTATTCACATAAAATCCCAACCAGTAAAACTTAAACTTAAAAAATAAACTAAACTTAAAAACACTTGTCCTCGACCGCGTAACGCAAACAAAAGAATCGCAACGAATTTTAGCCTTGAACGAAGCTCACGAATTGTTTACACATACTAAATAAATAATCTTAACAAATTAACTTTCTTTGCTTGCTCACCATACGCACCCACAAGATCGCGTCCGATGTATTGACGCGGCGGTGTTCGGTAACCTCCGGACGTAACGAATATTTCCGAAGAATACTAAATTCACAAAAATGAATAAAATAATATTGAAAATAATGCGTCGAGTGCGTTGACGTAAATTGAAAGCTAATATTTTAACCTATTTTTTCATTAATGAATAACAGTTAATACATTGACGAATGAAAAGCTGTTGAAAAAAACAGTTTATTGATTCAACACCCACTTCTAATTTGTGATATAAAAATATTTTTTGATGGTCAATATTCAATAGAATCTACAAATTAGAGCTTCCAAATCATGTCTCTCAGAGTTTTGGCCTAAACATTCATCGGGATTATGATTACTACTAAATAAATAAATAAGTTATCTAAAATTTGCCTTGAGCTTATTGTAGTAGAGAAAACGAAATATTTTTACCAAGTAATTGTTATTTCAAGCAACAAATGGAAAACATATAATTTCAACGGGGAAACCTTGTAATTTGGAGTTTTTTTGTAATACTCCTCTGAAGATAAATTTCAATTTTATGTTAATTCTATAAAATGTTAATTTCCGAGAGAAATGAAGATATTTGTATTAACTCAGAGTCATGCATTACATGACAATTGGCTATGTAATACAAATTAATTAAAGAATTAAGAGCATTTTCATTTACTTTAAGCACCTTTTTAGTAATGTTTACATAATGTATTAATCATTGATAAGGCGTATCAATAATAGAGTAGATAAGGAAAGTTTAATGCTACATAGAATGAAATATTGTATATGTCCGACCGCGATAATTATAATTATGGGAAGGATGGCTAGAGCCTCCTATTTGATCCCGAGGGTCGAACATCATG